AATCGTACGGTGTCGAATAATTTGGTGTCGAATAAATCTGTGTCGAATCGAGCGGTGTCGAATCGTACTGTGGTCAATAGAGTATCACCCGAGCAGCAGACGTAATAGCCTATGCTGAACGCCTTGTGATGTTGATACGTATATAACGTTTGCTGCGTCTCTCCATCAATTTTGTGTAATACGCTCTCAAGGTCGACGTATACTACAAATGGGAGACGTTTCTTCCTGCTATGATTATTGAAACTGGGCAATTTGTTGTCCTCCGCTGGTAACCGAATCGCGCAGTTATTCATTTTTCCGCAATCTACGGTGTGGACAACTTATCCAGAGAATGGAAATAGTGTAAACATCTGCAAATATATAATACATTAATTTTTCAGTATCTCTTACGTACACATATAATGCAAGCATACCTTTCGCAAATATATTTTTTTCCATTATGCTTATTTAATTGTGTGCTCACGAGTCGAGACAGATTTTTTATACATGCAAAGTGCCCACGATTAACGTTTCGTGGATCCGAAACGTAGAGCAAGTTTACGTGTTTCTCTCTCTTTTGCTCTGGGAGACGTATTGGGAAGATGACAAGGTCGTTTTTCGGTTTGTTCTTCTTTTTCCTCTTCAGTTCTATGTTGTACACGTTGACAGAGATGTCGTTAAGCCGTTCAAATTTTGATATTTGGTTTACACTCATTGGAAACTCAATGTCCTGAAGATTTAGTACTGTTGTATAGTGAGGATACGATGATATTCGGTGTCCATTTTTTTTGGCCGTATAAAGAGCAGCGACTACTGACCATGGAAAGCATGCATTATCCTCGGATAGCACGTTAAGCACCGCTCTCTTAAACTTAACTTCTGGCGGCAAATTTATATGACATCCTGCACGCAATGGATTGTACTTGTTCACATTTACAATTAAATTGAATATACGTAACAAGGCCCACCCACTATCACGTTCCTGAAATTCATCTAAAGACGCTAACGTGGGTTCACCATGACGTATCGCTCGTACCGTCACTCGTCTAAATTGGTTGTACAAAAGAGTTCTGAATTTCTTGTTGTTATATTTTTATTGGCGCGTTTACCTTTCTATATAAATTCACCATTGAACACTGTATTGATTTTCAGACTATTGTGTTTCTCAATGGCATTTTGTACTTTTTCTAGCACTGTACTTTTTGCGTGTTCGAGAAAATGGCAAGGTTCGATATGATTTTCATTAATGATAGCACCTGTCATTACCCTACTTCCAAAAGCGGTGTCTATCTCTTGCCACGTATGTCCATGTCCAGCACCAATGTATACAAATTGTCTGTGCAGTGAATTTTTCAAACTTTCGAGTCGAGCAATTCTAGCAACAAGCGATTGTTGCGATTGTTGAAGTCTGATTCCTACAGACAGTCGCGGACGCTTGTTCCGATTATGTTCATCCAATAATTTAAGACATTCGTCACATTGCTACTCCCACGCGACAACTTCTTTTCGCGAATTCAAACGTGTCGATTGCTCCAATACATTACGCTCTAACTGTGCGAGTATAGTTTCCATTTCGTCATTCTTATAACACACTGATTGATCATTCACTCTGATGTTCTAATGAAATACTGATTTCATGTAACGGTTTTGTCTTTTTATAGTGTATTTGTTTACTGATGTTGCATTTTGTTAATGCTAGATTGTTGCAACCATTTAAGAAAACTGAAATGTACTAAAAAAGAACTAAAATGTTTGCGAAACATAATTCTAAATACGTGATCAAATCGATGAAAACTGATATTCGACAAAAAAATCTACTGTTTGCGTACTTTACGAGCTATACATATAGCAATTTTATAATTGTTACATTTTAATTTTATAATTGTTTTATTTAACCTTTACGCTGCCGGGATTTGAAGAGCATTATGTCCCTTAGAAAATTCCCAAATTTTGTGGTTGTGTCTTTTATATAACTTATATAAAGTTGCGATCGGGTGATACTCTATTGACCACAGTACGATTCGACACCGCTCGATTCGACACAGATTTATTCGACACGAAATTATTCGACACCGTACGATTCGACACGAAATTATTCGACACCGTACGATTCGACACGAAATTATTCGAC